CTCATCTTGTCTCATCTCATCTCGTCTCATCTTGTCTCATCTCATCTCGTCTCATCTCATCATCTTGTCTCAGATGCAACAAGAGCTGGGAAACGTTTCATAATGCTAAGAATACCGTGTCATATTAAGAAGAAAGGGGTCAGTAACAAATTCAAAACATTTTAAATTATATATAAATACACACAGATCATTTAAAAAAAATAGAGTATCATGTAAAAGTCAACTCCTTTAGGTGTCAAAATGGGAATGGGTTTATTGCTTTGTGAAAAATATTGAAATTATACTTCAATGATTTAAAAATGTAGCTAAAAGTGAAACTGCAGTAATATTTAAAATAATACAGAAAACTTGAAGAAAATCCTAAATAACTTTTTTTTAATAAACTGATTTGAAGAAATCCATCCATCCATCCATTTTCTTCCGCTTATCCGGGGTCGGGTCGCGGGGGTAGCAGCCTAAGTAGGGAGGCCCAGACTTCCCTCTCCCCAGCCACTTGGGCCAGCTCTTCCGGGGGAATCCCGAGGCGTTCCCAGGCCAGCCGAGAAACGTAGTCCCTCCAGCGTGTCCTGGGTCTTCCCCTGGGCCTCCTTCCGGTGGGACGTGTCCAGAACACCTCACCAGGGAGGCGTCCAGAAGGCATCCTAAACAGATGCCCAAGCCACCTCAACTGGCTCCTCTCGATGTGGAGAAGCAGCGGCTCTACTCCGAGTCCCTCCCGGATGATCGAGCTTCTCACCCTGTCTCTAAGGGAGAGCCCAGACACCCTGCGGAGAAAACTCATTTCGGCCGCTTGTATCCGAGATCTCATTCTTTCGGTCACAACCCAAAGCTCGTGACCATAGATGAGGGTGGGAACGTAGATCGATCGGTAAATTGAGAGCTTCGCCTTTTGACTCAGCTCTCTCTTCACCACGACAGACCTGTACAGCGCCCGCTTCACTGCAGACGCTGCACCTATCCGCCTATCGATCTCACGCTCCATTTTTCCCTCATTCGTGAACAAGACCCCAAGATACTTGAACTCCTCCACTTGGGGTAGGACCTCCTCCCTGACCCAGAGAGGGCACTCTACCCTTTTGAAGATTTGAAGAAATTGCATTAATAATAAAAACGTGACTTGTTTGTGGAAATGAAGCCTAAAAACACTTTTAAAGAAACGGTCAAACATTGTTTACAACTGCACTCATGCATGTACATGAAAGCTGCACGGCACAATATGTGTCTATGTGTGAACAGTTATGTGATGCTTTTGGAGAAACATGACATTTAAAGAAAAAGTACTTTGTTGTAACAAAACTTCCATTCACGCTCTGCGTACATTTCAACTATGTGTTTCTGAACGGAGTCCAGGTGAGAAGTGACCTGCGCGCCGTCAACAGGTGAAAACACCAACAGCAGAAATACAACACGAGGACCCAAAAGTGAAATAATGTCAAAACCTTGTTTGCAACATTCATTTTCAGTTATTTTTAATGAAGCTTTGAGATTTAACAATTTGTATGGTGATTTTTTTAGATATGTTTTCAGGCTTGATAAGTTTAAATGTCTAATAATAGTCAACTTTATGGTGTATAACAGAAATAAAAAGATGTGATTTCTATACATATTTTAACAAACAGTCGGGGCTCAGTGGTTACAGCAGTCTCCCTCCAATGAGAGAGTTGGGGGTTTGATTCCACCACTACGTCAAGTGCCCCTGGGCAAGACGCTGAGGCCCTCGTGACGTGTCCAGTCAGCGCATGAACGTGACTAAAGGCACTGACGAGTCTCTGCAGCCGGATTTGTTCAGGTTAACTTTAACAAGTGGTGGCGTGCTGTGTGAATGTGTGTGCAGGTAAATGAGACGGGCACGGATTGTTGTAGGTGCTTTGAGTATCTGGATTAGATAAAGATGCTACAGAAGTAGTCAACTTAACATTTGTTGTGAATGTTACCGGAAGTTGCTTTCTCCTGCAGAACAGCGGGAGAACGTTTGATGGGTGCCATCCCAGGTTTGACCACCAGGTGTCAGCAAACGAGACACACCTTCAACATGAGCGCCCCCCGGATGTTCCTCACCTGTCCCGGCGGAGTTGACCCTCTGCACAGCCACCTGGCTCCAGGCTCCAGGTGCTGCGCCGCAGTCCACCACACTGTCACCGGGATGTAGAACTCGGAACTTATCGTCTATTTCCAGCAGCTTGAAGGCACTTCGGCAGCGGAAGTGCTGGTCGTGAGACGCTTTAACGTACGGGTCTTTGAGCTGTCGCAGCAGCCAGCGCTGTTCCGCGGGACTTCTCCCCTTCACCTTCTTCATGAAACTCAACGACGAGTGGAAACATCTCCGCTGTAGGAGCCACATTTGTTTTCGGCTGTAGCACGCAGTTGTGCGCATGCGTAAAGGCGACTCTAGTGTGCATTACTTATTCACGTCCCTGTATTCTGAAACATAAACAATAGTTCCTACCTTATCAAGTCGTTTTCATCTACCAAACCCCTCTCAGATCGATACAAAACACAGTATATAAATTAATTAAAGGTCGCAGTGGCTGACTAACTTGCTTCCGCAATATATCTTTTGATGTTCTTTCAAAAATTATTACACTTTTATTAATTGTTATAATGACTTTCTGCAGGTTTTGTGTATGTACAAAATGTATGAGTCAGAGATTCTTTATTGTCGTTCGCTCCACATGTGGTGGGACGAAATTATGTACACAGAGTCCCCGTTATATCCAACAATAAAATGTAAACAAAAACAATTATAGCATGTAAGATATGAACTAAGAAAAACAACTAAAAATACACTAAGCACTAATGGCATAAAAACATTATGTTGAACAGCAGCACGAACATGAGTCTGTGTGAGCAGATGAGCACGCATGAACACAGCAACATGAAACAGATCAGCAGCAACATGAAACAGATCAGCAGCAGCATGAAACAGAACAGCAGCAACATGAAACAGATCAGCAGCAGCATGAAACAGATCAGCA